AATACTGAGAGGGACTGCTGAGGAAATAATCCCCATCTGTGACTCTCAGGTGAGATCAGGGGCCTTGGTTTCAGCACAGCCTGGGCAATTGGAATGCAGGGCTCCTAAGATTTCATGACACACCCACCTTCTAATTCTGTTATTGTGACTGCAATAACAGAAGATACCGGCTGCTAACCTCCCTCACTCTTGTAGAGTCTGAGCTACAGGCAGTGCCTTCGGCTCTGAGCTCTGGTATTCTAACTTTGTTTGGCGATTAAGTACTCTGTGGTATTGGTGGAGTTCTTCTTAACCTAAGTCAACCATTCCAGCTGATGTCATCCCTCAGTGCTGACTAACCCTATTTGATTTCACTTGTTTTTGACCCATCATGTTTTGTGGTTTCTTCTCCCTAGTCCCTGTTATACCTCTTCTGCCACCAACGTCAGCATGTGGTATCTGCTGGACATTTATCCAGGGAGAGGGCAGAATGAACATCCTATAAATCAACCAGGAATTGTGTTGTAAGGGTTATTCTCTTGTGAGGTTTATTGCCGAGTTTAAAATGAGAAACTGAAGCCTGCATGAGAACAATTAGACGCCAATTTATTCGGCTCTTGGGTGAGGTTCTGTGGTCCTGGGAAAGAGGCAGAGAAGTTATTCCCGACCTCTCTTAGGCATGAGGCTTTACAGGGAGGGAAGGCGTTTCTGATTGCCTGTGGACAAACAGGACATGGACATAGCAAGCTGCTATTGGTAGGCGGGCAGGATTTCTGGTGAGCAGGCTAGGTGCCCAGTGTGGAGCTTAGTGCTGAGTTCAGAGGGGATCTCCAAGGCGGAGCTAGATATGGGCGTATTCCGGTGACAATTTTCAGGCAGGGAGAGGGATGGGCGTGTCGAGCTCCCAGCAAGTCAAATGGCCTTACAGTGCTCCCAGCTGGCACAGAGCCAACAGCAGTTCCAAGACCTCAAAGAGAAATTTCTTGTAAGTCAAGCTACTGTCTACTCTCTGGCCAAGCAACTGAAGAGATACAGTAAGTTCTATAGATTCATCATCACAAAAGTGATGACTAAGCACCTGCTTCTCTCTGAGATACTGAATGGTCCCTTCATCTAAAATTTCATCCTTTCTTTAGTTCTAGGAAAATAGAAATGGGTATTTTAACTTCATTGTGTTAGGATGGAAATGGAGGCACGATGTTTAGCAACCCCTCCACGTTAGCAGTCCGGTGTGAGGTGGGGCTAGAGTTGAAATCCTACTTACCGACTCTCACACAGACACAGAGGCACTTACTTTCCTCAGCAAGAGGCTATATCACATTTAGAGAATCCTCTCTGTGCCCTGTAAGATCCTGCACACAAATAACTTGTAGTCTGTTGGTAAATGTCTGGGACCAAAGAACTGCCATTCGGTTTAGCTTCTTTGAGACCCAGTAGGCAAATCTCTGTTCTGGGGACCCTGGGGAAATGTAGTGACAGTACAGAGTACCTGCTCTAAGAGCTTAAAGAGGAGACTGCTCCTAACGGTAAGTGTGGCATCTATACATGAGGGCATCAAGAGCAGGAAGTACCCTGGTGAGAGGGAAGTCCTGCTTCCTGGGGCACAGACTCTTATTCTAAAGAGGAATTAAGACAGCACATTAGACATTGTGGAGGTCACAGTGTAGTGTGTGGAGTAATGGAAATATCATAGAAATAAAGTACACAAAATATGTAATGTGACTGAATCATTCGAAAACCATCCCCCTACCCTGGACCCAGAAAAATTGTCTTCCATGAAACCGGATGCTGGTGCCCAAAAGGTTGGGGACTGCGGCTCTACCTGCTGGGAGGTGACCTCCCTCCACTGACGCAGTCCAGCGTCCCTTCCTTTTTACTCAGGCCCAGGCTTGCATCCTCTGCAGAGCTCCAGTGGCTTTTTCCATGTGTGGGCTTGTTGTTTGAATCGTGATTTGGTCTCAGTGCTATATTCTCATGAAAACCATTGAGAATGAGTGTCCCTCACGGGGTACTGGCCTAACTGATGAGCAAAGCAGAGTGGTTTCTATCCTCGTGATGTCCAGAAAACCCTTCCGCTGAGCAAGTGCCCCTTGGTGTAGCAGCTTCACAGGCTATGTAGAGAAAAATTCCAATTTTCATTTCTTCTTGCTCATTGTATTTTTTTAAACTTCCATCCTGGGAGTTTCTGTGGATTGGTGGGAGTTCAACCATCAGTCTATTTTCTAGTAGGAGCAGGTAACTCTGTGATGTACCTTAGGATATCTGATAATGTTGTAATAAAATTAGCAAGAGTGCCAGGTGCGGTGGCTCATGCCTGTAATTCCAGCACTTTAGGAGGCTGAGGCAGGTAGATTGCTTGAGCTGAGTAGTTTGAGACCAGTGTGGGCAACACTACAAAAACATGTCCCTATGAAAATTAGCAAGACATGGTGACACACACCTGTACTTCCAGCTTTATGGGAGGCTGTGGTGGAAGAATCACCTGAGCCTGGGAAATTGAGGCTGCAGTGTGTCATCATTGTACCACTGCACTCCAGCCTGAGCAACAAGGTGAGACCTGTGTCACACACATACACTCACACTCACACACACACAAACACAGACACAAACACATCCATACACACACACACTCACACAAAAAGAAACTAGCAATGAAAATGTTGGTCTCTATTCTGTTTCAGTCAGTGAGTGCCTTTCCTACCTGGACCATCGCTTTCCCCTTTTGCATTTCTCCCTGAGTTTGAGAAAGCAAATAGTTTTCTGTGATGACAGTGATTCATTAAACAAACAAAATACTCTTTGATCTTGCATATGCATATGCCCTGCCCCTTGCCAAACAAGCTCTACCCTGCTATAAACATTCAGAGCTGAAGGAATGCTCCCAAGGGGGCAGTGGCATCTCCATGTTAGACCTGAGATTCTGAGGCTATAAAAGTTTCCTTCACTTGCCCAGGATGGCCCGACTAGTCATGGTGAGAGCATGGTCCTTTTGTCTGCCTGACTTCATGGCCCAGTCTCTGTCATTTCTCTGTGGGGGTTCTGTCAGGGACTAAGCCACGATGCGTGCACATCCTCTTTCCTTTGTAGAAATTATTTTCCAATAAAGTCAAGCTGAAACAGAATAAGTTGCTGGTCTAGGGTAAAGAAGTCTTGTAGTCCCTGGCACAGATTTCTCAAGAAGGATTCTCTGTGCACTCTGTCCATCAGCAGAATCAGTGGCTCCTTCAGTCCCTCCAGGGGGACCTACAGCTCCAGCAGGCTCTCCCTTGGAAAAGCACTCAGGGAATAAATGATCCTAGTCTCTCCCCACCTCCCATCCCCAGGGTTTCAACTCTCAACTTGGCCATGTTTAGGTCCCTGTAAAGCTGTGGAGCTGCATCTCAGGAACACACCAGCCAGAATGGGTCTCCTACAAAAAGAAAGAGACACTGCTCTGACACATGTCTCAGAACTGAGATACCTGTGATGTGGCCAGCCCTGCCATCAGGAACATGGGCCAGGAGAAAGCACATTCATCCATGCAGATGGGCCAAGATGAATGAATGCGCCCTTCAGATTACACAAGAATGCTTCCTATGTGTGGCTTCTCGACAATAATGTGTGAATAGTGTGCACAGTGCACAGCCCTGACCCCAGCAATGGTGTCAGTGTGTATCTGCTCTGCCCAAGCTTTCCCTGCAGAGAAGGGCTTGATTTGAAAACAAAGGGCAATTTTCACACGGAAAGTGTTCACATCTGTCTCTTATGAAAACCATTTAGTTGGTCATCTCCACTCATGCCCTCGCCATGTCCTCAGTTTCCTTCTCACAGGGATCCACTTCTGCTCAGATTTCCTTAATGCCCTGGATCCTGTTCATTCTCATGCTTTGTCCCAGGCAATATCTCCTCCTGGAGCCCTCAGCTGAGGAATACAGAGACCCCTGTCCTCAGGAGGAGGGAGGGTCACATGAGATAATGAGCCCCATTTGGATCTGTGGAAAGGATACCTGAAAGGCGCTGAGCGGTGTCAGGAATGTGCCGTCCCTTACATGTGCCATGTAACTAACTTAAACTGATTTTTTCCCACCACATTCTCCTTTCTTTCACTATGGATTCTTACATGTCAGCCAAGCCCGAACTCACTGGCTCAGACGTATGCTGTTTTGCCCACATTCCCTGGAGTCCAAGCCAGAACAAGGCTCCCAGTAAGAGCAAAGAGTGAATGCCTGTGCCTCATTCACGGTTTCCTTGTCATTTCTCCCTGCTGTCTAACAGCTCATTTGTTTCTCTGCACACCTCTTCTTTCTCATTCTTCTCATGTTTCTATTATTTTTTAAATTTCAATAGAAGAGACTAATTATATTGTTACATTAATATCTCTCAACTCTCTATATATATTTTGTTCATTAGATTAATTTCTACAGATATATGCATCTACACCATTTGCTATGTATTATTATGTACATTGGTGTGTATGCTACGTAGTGTGTATATATATATGTGCAATAGATCATATAATGATGCACATTTTGTAAATTCTTCAGGTTTAGTCTTCCCCGGTTCTTTTCCCATCAGCTGCTGTAAGGTCTGTCTGGTCTCACCTCTGTGTCCCGTGGTCTGCCACCCTGCCAGGCCCTTCCACCCCGCTGTCCTGTTTGGACTCAGCTCTGATTTAACTTTCACTCTTATAATCTCTTCCCTCCCAAAGCACAGCCTACATGCAGTGTGATTCCCTTGCTTTGGCCATATCTACCTGAAGCTAATTGTGTTTCTTAATCTTTAGTTCCTGAATATTTTTGTAAATCAGGAGTGCCCTGCCTCCTGGCACACTGTCATACTGAGTAATGTAAGAAAGATTAACAAAAACATATATTAAAGTTACTCTGTTGGGTTCCCCTCCCCCTTTGGACTTTCTTGTCCAAGGCCCTATTCGTGATTTGATGTCCTTGGGTGGAAGAGGAAATCACAGTAAGATCGTGGATGCCATTGGCTGTGTTTTATTTCAGAGCTGTTTTAGCCCCCTCCATTGCGATGAAGAACCCTCTGCAGATGGAAGATGATCCACTCGAAGGCTCATCAACCACTCAGTGGCATCAAGTGCCTGGGAACATTGATGCCTCCAGTGTTGCAAAACCAAGAAGATCAAACGAAAGCTCCCTTTCAGCAAATGGTTCTGCTGGACTTCACGCTCCGGGTGCAGAGGTACTCACTTCTATGGCTCTGAGCTGCACTCACTTCTTATTTCTCTCTGTCTATGGTGACAGCCCATTCTCCCACTGCTTTTTCTTTTCCATTTGTTCTCCCCAGGGGCAGCTGTAAACCTCTGTCTGGTCTTACCCCAGTGTCCCATGGGCTCCCATGCTGCCAGGCCCTTTCTGGTCTCATCTCCTCATTGCTCTCTGAACTCTGCTCTATCCTTCTTCTGCTGGCTTGACGGTCTCTCTCATGACCCGGGAATGCCGGGCCTCATTGTCCTCATTAAAGTACACAGTTTAAGCTACAGAACACAGGGTTTCTTGCCTGGAATTACACACTCTCTTCAGAAATTACCTTTCCTCCCATTATCCCCAACTTTATTGTTGCTTTCTGCAGGGAGCATGGCTTTAATACATCATTTACACATGGGTTTTTCTCTTAAGTTGGCTTTGGAGGAACCCAGCTAAGTTCACCCTTACTCATCTCTTATTCCTCTGAATGAGAAGTGTTAAAGCTGAGCACAGAGAGCCCCACATATAAAACTGAACTTGAATCTGGGTCACAAGTGGGAGTTCTCTACTGGACTGGAGCCAGGTTTGCCTTCAGCCCCAGATGTGCAGACTTGTGACAATGTAGATGGAATTGCCAGGGACTCAGTATTCTCACCTAATGGACTCATTTGTGCTGACATTAACTGAATGACATTTATGACATGCAAAAGTACATGCAGAGGACAGGACTTCAAATCTGCATACGTCATGAGATATATCATTCTAACCTCTCTCCATTTTATTCTCATTTCCATTTCTACATGTCTGGTTAAGGGTCTATAATGCAACTCAGATGAATCTTGAGGCCAGGGTATATGAGAGAACATTTTCTGAATTAACTTTAAGAAAAGTGACTCCAGGACCTGCTTTATGCTACACAAGATGACAGACAAGCATCTGTCTACAGGACAATATTTGCTTCGGTTCAGCCCAATTGATAAGAGAGAGATTTCACTGAAGTTGTCAGAGAGAAGACTGAAATCCATGAAACCACAGGAAGCAAAGCCAATCATGAGATAAACAGGGAAAGGAAAGAAAATGATTGGTAATTGGGTGTTCCATTTTGTATCTTTAAATCCTACTGCCATGTAGTAAACAGCTGGTGAGATTTTCAGTTTAGATGCATGCCTTGAACTCACATCTTGAGATTCTCACTGACATCATCTGGGGAGTGGTTTGGGTGTCTGTAGTTTTAAAATGCTCCCATGTGATTCTGATATATGGCTGAAGATGAGGAAGACAACTGGTCTCTGTGACCTCAGGTTGCAACATGAAAGTGTTTTATATGTGTGGTACTCCGAAGAAAGGCTGAGCATTCATCAGCATTTGATGTTATCTGTATTCCCCTCTCAATAGTACGGTTCATATAGCAGAGAAAAAAATCAGACAGGAAACCAACAAAATCAAGAGATAAGACCTTTAGCCTCTGCTCCCAATGGTGAGTGTGGCATCTATACGTGAGGGCATCAAGAGCAGGAAGTACCCTTGTGAGAGGATTGTTCTGCATCCTGGGTCACAGGCTTTTATTCTAAAGAGGAAGAACAACGGCCCATTAGACATTGTGGAGGTCACAGTGTAGCGTGTAGAGTAGGAATCCTGGGCCAGAATCCTGGGTTCCATCTAAGTAGCCGAGCTTTTCGGTGCCTCAGTTTCCTCATCTGTTCTTTGGGTACTATAATAATACCTACCTCTGTAAATTGCTGCAATGAATTACATGACTGTTTCTTTTAAATCTCCTAGAACAATACTTGGCACAGAGTAAACACTATTCATTTTTATTCTACTATTTCTAACTTAATTCAAATTTATTAGTATTTAGCCACATTCTTTTATGATTTCAGGGTCCAATGCCTCATATTTTATGCAATTATATTCAGATATGATTTTTCAAATTTTTGACAAATTTGTGCTTAAAATTTCCAGTTCCAGGGAATCTATGAGTCCCACAGTCCTAAGGGCATTCCTGTCCAGAATATCAGTACTTCATGCCCCCATAGAGTGTTTTACAGGAGAGGCTGCAAGGTTGGGAACGTGGCCCAAAACTTAGAGTCAGACCTTGGGGGCTGTGAATTCTGACTGTCTCATTCCAGGTGTTACTTGATGTGCCACTGAGTTTCTTTTTCCCCATCTCTAAGTTGGAGAGTATCAGATTGCCAGTGAGTTGGAAGGTTTATAACTAAAAATGAGAAAATCCCTCACTGGAGCCTGATAGTGGAGATGCCTTTGTCCTTGGGATAAATGCTGCCACCTGCCATGTAGGCAGTGACCACAACAGCCTGTCCAGCCTTCCACTGAGGCTGGCATGACTTTCTTTTCTCAGACTGTGATGCATACCACCTCAACATCCAGTCTCTGGAAAAAGATCTATATCGAATAGGAGAAGAAACAATATATGAAGAGTTGAAATTAATTGAGGAGCTCAGGTGAGCAGACGCTGTGGGGACAGGTGGGGGCAAAGGTGTGGATCTCTGAAGTGCAGCACTTCAGCTGGGAGAACCAGCAGCTAAGCTGGGCCAGGACCAGGACAGCCATTACGTGGCAGGCACATTTCACAGCAGCACTCATAAAACAGAACAGTCATCTTAGCACGTTACCGGCTGCAGTTGTTTCCTTGAGCTTTGTTTACACTTTTTATAACAATGAATTGTTGAGTCAAAATTTGTATATCCAAAATTAATTAAAAAATAGTGAACCACCCAGCAGCGTTTAGTACACTCTATCCCTGTACTCTTAAAGTCACCTCCTGGCTGACCACTGCAACTCATTCATTCAATCCATACTGCCTTCTTTATCTGTCATTTTTTTCTTCTTTCATCTTACAATTCACCCCATCTGCACCAGGCCACACTTCTGTGCATGGCTCTGTTTCCAGTCACTGCCCGATGTACTATGGAGTTTTCACATAGAAATGTCCACGGCTCTAAAGTGAGAAGCTGAAAGGACATCCTTTTGAAACCGATTTGGGAAGACTGACTTTTGTTTACAGAAGACAAAAATGAATGGAACATCATACAAGATCTCACAGGAGCTCCCTCTGATACAGAGGAAGCCTCCAAGGTTCAAGCAATTCTCCCGTCTCGGCCTCCCGAGTAGCTGGGACTACAGGTGTGCACCACCATGCCTGGCTAATTTTTGTATTTTTGGTAGAGACAGGGTTTCACCATGTTGGCCAGGCTGGTTTTAAACACCTGATCTCAGGTTCTGCCCACCTCAGAATCTCGAAGTGCTCAGATCACCAGTATGAGCTACCATGCTCTGCTTTAAAAAATAAATGCATATTTATTTATTATTATATTGTATATACATAATATGGCAGCCGTGCTCTGTTGCAGAGAGAGGAGGATTGCCTGTTCCCTGTTAAACGGAACCTCCCCCTTTGCTTTCTGGGACCACTACTTTATGCCTCCTGTGAAAACCAGTTGGAAATTCCTGGGTTCAATCCCTTGTGGTTTAATCTTTGTCATCTCAAAATATATAGATATAAAGGTAGATATGCTATAGACACACACACACACACACACACACACACACACACACAGACAAACACACATTCCTCTGGACACAGGCATTTCCTAAACATGTTGTGATGTTCTGCATGGGGGGCTCCTTGAGGACATTTTTACCTAAACCTCCATCGCAGTATTAGAACTGGTCACTCATCCCTTTACATTATTAAACCTCTCTGCTGTCTCATTATAGGAAATATAAAGCCCTGAATTACCGTCAGACAGAGCAGCTGGCACAGTTAAAGTATGAATTACGAAAAGTGAGAGATGCCTCCTGCTCAGTGGATCAGCATTTTGAGGTCCACCTCCCTCCTGATGACCCTGACAACTGGGAGCGTCAGAACCTCCGAGAGGAGCTGGCTAAGGGGCCCAGGCTGGCTGAGCAATGTGTCAGCAGGCTCAAGCCCAGGTAAGGTGGGCATAGGCCCTGATGACACACAGCCCCACGCTTATGAAAGTCCCAGACCACCAACCTCCACGGTGACAATTTTATTTCTTTACACTAAATTTCATAGCCATGACATGACCAGGACATCCTGGGCAGAAACTGAGATGGAAAACCCATGTTGTCGGAGGTCACAGTATGGCAAATGTCTCCTCATTTCTTGCTGAAATGTGCTCTTTGTGGCAGGAGGCAGCATCTGTCCAGTTTTAAAGGACAGGAAAGGCTGTGACAGGAGGCAGCTTGTTAGAGTCAAAAGAGCCCTGACTAAGAATGAGGGTTCCAGGCTCTATCTTCAGCAGTGTCTTTAGCAACTGTGGGTAACTGATTAAATCATCCTTCCTGAGGTCCTGTCTCTAAATCTGTAAAAGCAGACAAATTGTCTCTTGCATTCGAAGGTGGGCACACTTACAAGTATATTTTACAACGAGATAAAACCCCTTGCTGTGTGGTGTTGGAGAAGGCACTTGATGTGGGGGCATTTGGTGGTAGGAAGCTATCTCCACACACTCCACATGGAGAGTGTGTTCCTGGATAAGACAGCAGAAGCCTCTTGGAGGGCCCACGAAGTCCTAGATTTGTGGAGTATAGTGGGACAACTTAGTTTGTCCTGTCGTAAGAGAAAGATACAGGTTTTAATGTAAGCTGTAACAGGACACAGAGCCTGTGCCTGGGTATCAGAAGTGAGGCATGACTGGGGAGACAACTGCTGAAGCTTGGAGAGAGGCTGGGCAAGCCTGCAGTAATATGGGGAGCAAGATGTCTTTTCACTATTTGGCCACATCTTGATGGTGACCCTCCAGATCAGAAACATGTGGCCTCATGGATTGGGGAAAACCTGTCAGGTTAAAAATAAAACATGACAGTGCTCAGCCCAATGCAGACCCATAGATGCATGCTCATGTCTCGGTACACATAGGGCTGACTGTGATTTCAGTGGGTAAAGTGGGAAATATCTGAATAGATGCTTCTGTAATTCCAGAAAATGATAAACATCGATATGAAACAGATGAGGACGGTGAGAAAGCAGAGAAATCAGCTGCCCCCAGGTAACACTGAATAATCAGGAGCGGGTAATGGGTGGTGAAATCTAGAAAGGTCTCAGAAAGAACGTAAGTTAGGCGAAAGGTCAGGTGAACAGACTAAACTCAGGGATTTCCGATCTCACCTGTTGTCTGCCTCTTTGGCATTTCCATGTTTGCAAGTATTTGCTAGCAGGAAAGTGAATGAAAACAATTCATATCATGCTCACAGTTTTGAGAACAAGCGAGGTTGAGGATACAGGAACTCTTTCTGTGAAGATGCAAGAACCTGCATTCATTTGGCCTCTGATGCTAATTTCAACAAAATGTGTGTGAAAGTGCTGAATGCACTGTGTCCTGGCAGTCTCCCACAGGGATCCCTCCAGCTCTTCCTCCCCAGCTCATTGTCTGCCCAGTGCACTGAGCACCTGCCACTCTGTCTCCTGCTCCACACAGGGAAGGATGGTTGTGTCTCTCTGAGAGGACCATACTTGGCTTCCTCTGGCCTCTCCTGTGGTCCTCCCTATATGAACCATCTGGGTGCAGTCGTATGGGTCCTGTCCAGTGTTTATCTTCTGTCTTCTTCACCCCAGGCTGAGCCAGGAGCTACTGGAGGCAAAGGAGCAGAAAGCCTCAGAAGACTCCCTGGATGACCTTTACTGGGCTCTTCCAGTTCAGGGTGACCTGTCTGATTACCACCAGCCTTATAGCAGTGCCTCGTCCTCACTGGAGAATCAACTCACATGCCCTGCACTGGATGTAGCCTGTGAGTACTGCAGCCTGAAGGTCCCAAAACCCCATGGTCCTCCCAGGCAGCCTCTGTATGTTATGTTTCTGCAACTTGTGTCACTGAGTCAGATCATCAATGCAGGCAGGCCCCGTAAACTGAGCCTGCCTCAGTTTGAATCTGACTCTTGGCTCCATTTTTAATCACAGACATCCAGTGGGAGGAACTTCCTCTTTTCCTGTCCCAAGTGACTCCTCGGTCACCTGGTTTCTTCTCACAAGAAAAGGCTGTGGGCATGAAAACAGGAAAGAGGTCAGGACTCATAGCAAGTTTTTGGCCACAGTAGCCCATCTGGATATATTTGCATAAAACCTTCTTCTGTAAGATAGGGCATCTGTCTTTTCTCAAATGATGTTGCTAACTGCATGCCTTGAACAGTGCCCTTATCTCTTCTCTGGCCATCCACACATCCAGGCAGTTTTGCACCATTATTTCAGAGCCCATTGTAGAATTCCTGTGTCTGATAAGGATTCTCTACTCTAGAGATCTCCAGCTCGAGGGCCATGGACAGTTGTGGGGCCATGACCTGTTAGGAACTGGGCCACACAGCAGGAGGTCAGCGGTGGGAGAGCATGACCGCCTGAATTTCGCCTCCTGCCAGATCAGCAGTGGCATTCAATTCTCACAGGACTCGAACCCTATTGTGAATTGCACATGTGAGCGATCTAGGTTCTGCACCCCTCATGGGAATTTAATGCATGATGATCTGTCACTGTCTCCCAGTGACTGTCACCCCCACGTGGGACCATCTAGTTTCAGGAAAACAAGCTTAGGGCTTGCACTGATTTGGTGAGTTGTATAATATTTCATTAGATATTATAATGTAATAATCATAGAAAAACAGTGCACAAATAATGTAATGTGCATGAATCATCCGGAAAGCTTCCCCCTTTCCCTGGACCCAGAAAAATTGTCTTCCATGAAACCGGATGCTGGTGCCTAAAGGTTGGGGACTGCGGCTCTACCTGCTGGGAGGTGACCTCCCTCCACTGACGCAGTCCAGTGTCCCTTCCTTTACTCAGGCCCAGGCTTGCATGCTCTGCAGAGCTCCAGTGGCTTTTTCCATGTGTGGGCTTGTTGTTTGAATCGTGATTTGGTCTCAGTGCTATATTCTCATGAAAACCATTGAGAATGAGTGTCCCTCATGGGGTACTGGCGTAACTGATGAGCAAAGTGGAGTGGTTTCTATCCTCATGATGTCCAGGAAACCCTTCCGCTGAGCAAGTGCCCCTTGGTGTAGCAGCTTCACAGGATATGTAGAGAAAAATTTGATTTTCATTTCTTCTTGCTCATTGTATTTTTTTTAACTTCCATTCTGGGAGTTTCATGTGCATTGTTGGGAGTTTCAAGCATCAACCTATTATTTTCTAGTAAGAGCAGGTAACTCTGTGATGTACCCCAGTATATCTGATTACGTTGTAATAAAATTAGCAACAGTGCCAGGTGCGGTGGCTCATGCCTGTAATTCCAGCACTTTGGAGGCTGAAGAGGGTAGATTGCTTGAGCTGAGGAGTTTGAGACCAGTGTGGGCAACACTACAAAACATGTCTTGATGAAAAATTAGCAAGGCATGATGACACACACCTGTGCTTCCAACTTTATGGGAAGCTGTGGTGGAAGAATCACCTGAGCCTGGGAAATTGAGGCTGCAGTACGTCATTATTGCACCACTGCACTCCAGCCTGAGCAACAAGGTGAGATCTGTGTCACGCACACACACACATTCACACCACACACACACACTGAGAGAGAGAGAGAGAGAGAGGAGAGATGAGAGAGAGAGAGAGAGAGAGAGAGAGAGGAGAGAGAGAGAGAGAGGAGAGAGAGAAACTAGCAACAAAAATGTTCGTCTCTATTCTGTTTCAGTCATTGAGTGCCTTTCCTAGCAGGACCATACCTTTTCCGGTTTTGCATTTCTCCCTGAGTTTGAAAAAGCAAATAATTTTCTGTGATCACAGTGATTCATTAAACAAATAAAATACTCTTTGACCTTTCATATGCATATGCCCTGCCCCTTGCCAAACAAGCTCTGTCCTGCTATAAACATTCAGAGCTGAAGAAATGCTCCCAAGGGGGCAGTGGCATCTCCATGGTAGAGCTGAGGATGCTGAGGCTCAGAAAGTTTCTTTCACTTGCCCTGGATGGCACGACTAGTCATGGTGAGAGCATGGTCTTTTTGTCTGCCTGATTTCATCTCCCAGGGACTGAGGTATGATGGGTGCTCACCCTTTTTTCTTTGTAGAAATTATTTTCCAATAAAGTCAGGCTGAAACAGAATAAGTTGCTGGTCTAGGATAAAGAAGTCCTGTAGTCCCTGGCACAGATTTCTCAAGGATTACCTCTGTGCACTCTGTCTGTCAGCAGAATCAGTGGCTCCTCCAGTCTTTCCAGGAGGACCTACAGCTCCAGCAGGCTCTCCCTTGGAAAAGCACTCAGGGAGTAAATGGTCCTAGTCTCTCCCCACCTCCCCATCCCAAGGGTTTCAACTCTCAACTTGGCCATGTTTAGGTTTCTATAAAACTGTAGAGCTGCATCTCTTGAACACCCCAGCCTGGATGGGTCTTGTACAAGAAGGGAATGCTCTGAAACGGGACTTAGAAGTGAGATGCCTGTGATGTGGCCGGCCCTGCCATCTGGAACATGGGCCAGGAGAGGGCACATTCATCCATGCAGATGGGCCAAGATGAACGAACGCGTCCTTCAGATTACACAAGGATGCTTCCTGTGTGTGGCTTCTCGACAATAATGTGTGAATAGTGTGCACAGTGCACAGCTCTGACCCCAGCAGTGGTGTCAGCATGGTTCGGCTCTGCCCATGCTCTCCCTGCAGAGAAAGACTTGGTAGATTTAGGGAGAATACAACCTAAATTATCTCTGGATCTTTCCTTGATGGCTTCTCCCAACCTGCCCCATGAACAGTACTGCAGTACTTCAGAAGTTTGAGAAAACGTTTTCTTTTTTCTTCTGAAAATGCAAAGAATATTCAAAGTACAAGTTTAATAAGACTCAGTAGTCTAGAAAAGAGGGATAAAGTGAGATGAGAAAATTAAGTAGTGACAATTAAAGACATTCCCAGAGCTTGATTCTAAACAGCAAGTGCAGAGAATCAGAAAAGGAGCACTGTGTTTGCCCAGTCTCCATCAGCCAGATTTGTTGTTTCAGGATGTTTCTCTCATTTGCCCAATATGAGCTATCTTAAAATGTGAGAGTGTCCTAAGTGGCTGATGGTCAATGATGAATAAAGTGTGCTCTCAGGAAGATGAAAGAGAACAGACACAAGGAAAGCTTTGAGCCACTAGGGAGGTGAAACCCAGTCTAGAGAAGGGCTTCTAAACAGAAACCACAGAGCTGGATGGCACCTGGCGCAGGGTGGAACCACAGAGGGGCCAGCATGACCTCAGGAAGAGTCTGTTTGAGCACGTGGTCGAAGGTGATGCTGGGTAGGATCGTGGGGCAGAAGTGAGAAGGAGCACAGAGGCAGGATGAGAAGGACAGTCACGCAGGGGGCAGTGGAGAGGAAGTGTTCAGGTGCAGAGTGGGAACATGGTGAGAACAGAACTTTGGGGAGATAAAACTGCTGAGACAATTGCTAGAGTGGACACGGCAAGGTCAGAGAAAGGAGAGAGGGAGGCTGTATGAAACCAGGCATCACTGATGAGACTCTGATACACTGTGCTCTCAGGAAGACAAAAGAGAATAGACACAAGGAGCACAGTTTTAAGAAAATTTAGGAAGTCTTGTAGTGAATGAGAATGAGGAGAGGGGAAGAGAGAAAGGAGCCCTAGCAATGTGGATCTGGCCCTGCACCCTGTCCCTGTCCTGAGCCAGAACTGCACAGGAATGAGGTCATTGGAAGTCTTTCCTTAGTCCACTCTGAGAATGTGCATTCCTCTCCCTGTGGAAATAGAAATAGTTTGTTTAGGATGTATGCCCGAACCCCACTGGAGAGTGGGTAATGTGAGGACTGTGCCCTGTGTTCCCTTCCTACAGAACCACCCATGCAGATGTATAGCTCTTATGGTCCCTGAATTTCTGTGAAGAAACTCATCCCTCCACTACATTGCCTATGGCTGCTGACACCCATTATTATATGGCACTAGGATGAAGATGTGTGGGCAGGGGGTTAAATCATTACAGGCAATGAGAAATTCAAAATGTCTCAGAACCCCGAAAAGTTAGCCTCACTTAGTGTTTGGTCTTTCTCATGGTTCTCTCTCAAAGCCTCCTGGCACTAGCGCTTGCCCTGTTCTTACACACCTGTGTTGTGGAGAACAGTTCTTCCTCTCCTATGTTCTGAGGGCTCTCTAGAACTTTCCCTGTAGGCAGAGGAAAGAGATTGATAATGACAGACTAATCGTCATGACCTTTATAGCCAATCCAAAGTTCTCTTGGCTGAAGGAGGGGTTTTTCACTTCAGGGGCACTCTAGCCTGGCACTTGCCATGACAGTGTCCCCAGGTACAGACAGGAAAGGTGACATCACCTGCATTTACATGATGTCTCTCTGTGTGGCTTGGGCCACTAGGTGGCTTACCAAGAAACAGGGACAGCAGAGATGCATGTTCTGGGGGTGCTTTACAAAGGGAAATCTGAGATTGTTCCTACTGAAGCTTCTTCTCCTTTCAGCTTCCACCCAGGCCACCTGTCCCCAAGGGACTTGGAGTGGAGACTTGAGCCCCCGCCTGTCAAAGGTGCAGGCTTCACAGACACAGCTGGATCCAAGCACCCTGGTGCCAAGTTGTCCACAAGGTGAGCTAGATCAAGGTTTCCACTCTGGGAGTGGCTCAGCCAGGCGGGGCCTTTCCTCCACCACCTGCAGCTTTAGAGTCAATGCTTATTCTGGTAACCAATGTTTCTTCCAAGCTAGGGAAGGAAAGGGGATAGGAAGATCTAGCCCAGGTGTTGGTGTTCATGGTGCTATGGGTGGAGGAGAGAATGGAGCCTCTCTGTGCTCCCTCAGGGTCAAGTTAAATGCACAGTACTCCAACCCAGTAAGGTGAGCAGGAGCCTGGGGCTTAGGAAAAAATCTGCTCTCGGGTCCCGGGTTTGCCTCCTTCTGGTTGTTCACGCTGGCCCAGGATTTTGTCTTTTTGCTATGCAAATCTGTTTTCTCATCTGAGCTACCTAAAATATATCTACTGGTAATCATCGCTGAGAGTATTAATTATCATAATTTCCAAAGGGCCTGATTGAATAACAAGTACTCAACAGACCTATAAATACGTGTTATTTAATCTATTTGTCTTTCTGCCAAGTTTACATTTAGAAAGTAACTTCACAGACTCTGTCTTCTCTGAGGTAGAGCAGTTGTGAAGCTCTCTGTTCCCTAGAGTCCCCTCTTCCTTCCTTTCTCACATATACTCCTCTGTCAGTTTTCTTCCTCTCCTTCCCCATCCCCCATGAAGCCAATTCTCCACTGTCAGGCACTTTCAGTGACAACCTATGAGGCACATTCAGGAACAGTGTAAATCCTGGACTAACATGTCAGTGTCATGACACGTCCAGCTCCTCTTTCTCCTTGTTCTGCTCTTTTTGAACACAAAGGGCAATTTTCACTTATAAAGTGTTCACATCTGTCTCTTATGAAAATCCATTTAGTTGGTCATCTCCACTCATGTCCTCGGCCATGTCCTCAGTTTCCTTCTCACAGGGATCCACTTCTGCTCAGATTTCCTTAGTGTCCTGTATCCTGTTCATTCTTACTCTTTGTCCCAGTCTATTTCTCATCCTAAGGCCCTCGGCTGAGGAATATGGGGACCCCTGTCCTCAGGAGGAGGAAGGGTCACATGAGATAATGAGCACCGCTTGGGTCTGTAGAGAGGACACCCAGACGGCACTCAGTGGGTGTCAGGGATGTGCAGTCCCTTACCTGTGCTGTGTAACTAATTTAAACTGATTTCTTCCCACCACATTCTCCTTTGTTTCACTATGGATACTTACACCCCCAGCCAAGACACAACCCACTGGCTCAGACGCATGCTCTCTTGCCCACTTTCCCTGGAGTCCAAAGCCAGAACCAGGATCCCAGTAAGAGCAAAGAGTGAATGCCTTGTGCCTCATTCACGGTTTCCTTGGTCATTTCTCCCTGCTGTCTAACAGCTCATTTGTTTCTCTGCACACCTCTTCTTTCTCATTCTTCTCATGTTTCTATTATTTTTTAATTTCAGTGAAAAGAATATTAATTATACTGTTACATTAAATATCTCCCAAATCTCTATATATTATTTTTCATTAATTTAATGTCTACAGATATATGCATTTACACCTTTTGCTATGTATATTATGTATATTTGGTGTGTATGCTACATAGTGTGTATATATATGTGCAATAGATTATATAATGATGCATGTTTCGTAAATTCTCCAGGTTTCATCTTTCCTTGTTCTTTTCTCATCAGCTGCTGTAACCTCTGCCTGTCTCACCTCTGTGTCCCATGGGCTGCCACCCTGCCAGGCCCTTCCACCCCCCCTTCCTGTTTGGACTCAGCTCTGATTTAACTTTCACTCTTATAATCTCTTCCCTCCCCAAAGCACAGCCTACATACAGTGTGATTCCCTTGCTTTGGCCATATCTACCCTGAAGCTACTTCTGTTTCTTAATCTTTAGTTTCTTGAATATTTTCGTAAATCAAGAGTGCCCTTGCCTCCTGGCACACTTGTCATTACTGAGTAATGTAAGAAAAATCAACCAAAAAATATATTAAAGTTACTCTGTTGGCTTCCTTTCCCCCTTTGGACTTTCCTGTCGAAGGCCCCATTCGTGATTTGATGTCCTTTGGGTGGAAGAGAAAGTCACAGTAAGATCATAAATGCCACTGGATGCCATTGGCTGTTGTTTTATTTTCAGAGCTGGTTTTAGCCCCCTCCATTGCGATGAAGAACCCTCTGCAGATGGAAGATGATCCACTCGAAGGCTCATCAAACACCCAATGGCATCAAGTGCCTGGCAACATTGATGCCTCCAGTGTCCCAAAACCCAAGAACATCAAAAGAAAATTCCCTTTCAGCAAATGGATCCATTGGCCTTCACGCTCCGGGTGCAGAGGTAATCACTTCTATGGCTCTGAGCTGCACTCACTTCTTATTTCTCTCTGTGTATGGTGACAGCTCATTCTCCCACTGCTTTTTTTCTTCCATTTGTTCTCCCCAGGGGCTGCTGTAACCTCTGTCTGGTCTAACCCCAGTGTCCCATGGGCTTCCATCCTGCCAGGCTCTTTCTGTCCTCATCTCCTCATTGCTCTCTGAACCCTGCTCTATTCCTTCTTCTGCTGTCTTGAGGGTCCCTCTGGTGGCCACAGAAGAGCCAGGCCACCTTGTCCTCATCCAAGTACACAGTTAAGCTGTGGAACACAAGGTTCTTTGCTGGGAATTGCACACTCTCTTCAGAAATTATCTTTCCTCCCTGTATCCCCAACTTTATTGTTTCTTTCTGCAGGGAGCATGGCTTTAATACATCATTTACACATAGGTTTTTTCCCTTGAGTTGGCTTTGGAGGAACCTAGCTAAGTCCACCCTTACTCGTCTCTTGTTCCTCTGAATGAGAAGTGTTAAAGCTGAGCACAGAGAGCTTCACTTAGAAAACAAAACTTAAATCTTGGTCACAAGTGGGAATTCCCTACCAGACTAGAGCCAGGTTTACCTTCAGCCCCAGATGTGCAGCCTTGTGACAATGTAGATGGAATTGCCAGGGACTCAGTATTCTCACCTCAAGGACTCATTTGTGCTGACATTAACTGAATGACATTTATGACATTCAAAATACATGCAGAGGACAGGACTTCAAATCTGCATACATCATGAGATATATCAGTCTAACCTCTCTCCATTTTATTCTCATTTCCATTTCTACATGTTGTAAAGGGTCTAAAATGCAACTCAGATGAATCTTGAGGCCAGGGTAGATGAGAGAGAACTTTCTCGGTTCGCTTTGAGGAAAGTGGCTCCAGGACCTTCATTACTGAGTAATGTCATAACTTTTTGTTGATAACAAGAAAGAAAATATTAATGTCACTCTGTTGGCTTTTCCTCCCCCTTTGGACTTTCTTGTCCAAGGCCACATTCCTGATTTCATGTCTTTTGGGTGGTTTTAGCCCCATCCGTTGGGATGAAGAATGCTCCACAGCTGGAAGATGATGCACTCGAAGGCTCAGCAGACACCACCCAAGGGCGTCAAGTCACTGGCAACATTCATGCGTCCAGTGTTTCAAAACCAAAGAACATTAAAAGAATACTCCCATTCACGCTGGGTGCGGTGGCTCACACCAGTAAGCCCAGCACTTTGGGAGGCCGAGGTGGGAAGATCACGAGGTCAAGGGACCAAGACCATCCTGGCCAACATGGTAAAACCCTGTCTCTACTAGAAAAAGCAAAAATTATCCCAGCGTTGTGGCGCTCGTCTGTAGTCCCAGCTAGCTGGGATGCTGAGACAGAAGAATCACTTAGAACACAGAAGGCAGAGGTTGCAGTGAGCCAAGATCATGCCACTGTCCTCCAGCCTGCGCGACAGAGTGAGACTCCGACTCAAGAAAAAAAGATAAAAAGAAAACTCACGTTCAGCAACTGGATCTGTTGGCCTTCATGCTCAGGGTGCAGAGGTAATCACATCTATGGCTTTTAGCTGCACTCACTTCTTCTTTCTCTCTATGGTGACAGCCCATTCTCCCACTGCTTTTTCTCTTCCATTTGTTCTCCCCAGCAGCTGCTGTAACCTCTGTCTGGTGTCCAGTGTCCCATGGGCTCCCATTCTGCCAGGCCCTTTCTGTCCCCATCTCCTCATTACTTGACATCGGGAGTTCAAGACCAGCCTGACCAACATGGTGAGACCCCATCTTTAAAATAAATAAATAAATAAAACATTTAATTTACAATCTTGACAATTACTAAGTGTCTAGTTCTTTAATAAAAAAAAGAAATCTGATCAGGCCTGCCTCTGCGGACCTTGTCATGATGTAGATTAATCTACATAGTACGCTACATTAATGTACCTATTGCCCCTCTACATAGGGTCTATGATGGTGGGCAATAGAAGGAAAATTTTGCATTTTGGAAAATTGGGTCCTTTCACCACTTTTTTAAAGCCGCATTTCCCCCATCTTTATAGTAATCTGGTCACATTGGCATTCACTGTCCCCAAGACCGCCTCCTGATTTTGGCTAGGTATTGTGAAACCAGCTCCAGCTCCTGAAGAAATGGTAGACATGGGGGTTATCTAGAGGAAGCCTTGCGGGACATGGTGTGAACCCTGCCACCATGGATGGAACGAGGGAAGCGGTAGCAGAGAGGCCAGAGCTGTCCCTCATCTGTCTCTTCACTGGACCCTTCACAAGTGTTTCTCCTGCCCTTAGGGCTATCTTCCTTCTCCTGAAACCCAGAGACTTCCTTGGTCATCCCTTCTCCTTTTCACCTCTGTTCTCCACAGCAGAAAGTAGTCCTCTGTCTCTCTGAAGAGCAGCTCAGCTACTTTTGTAAATTTCAGATTTGGGGAGAAATACGGAAGTCAGTGAATCCTGACCCCTGGAGAGAGACTCATCTGGCAAGGGCTGATGAAAGGGCTGGTCCTGGGCCTGCCTTCTCCTCCTCTCAGATGCTCCCTCTGCCTAGGCCCCTGGTACTCAGTCATGGCAGCCAGGAGACTCCAGGTGCGTTTCTGAGCACACACATAGTTGGTTCTTACCACTGGGGTGTCACACTGGGCCTGGAGCTAAGTAAGAGTTTGGAATAGAAGTTATGACCAAGGGAAGACTCTGATTATGCTGTTGATCCATAACAGTGGACATTACTGGGTACTTTGATTCCTACATCATATGGATAAGGATGGATTGGCCGGGCGCAGTGGCTCCCACCTGTAATCCCAGCACTTTGAGAAGCAGAGGTGGATGGATCAGTTGAGCTCAGAAGTTCCACATTGGCTCAGGAGTTCAAGATCAACCTGGCCAAATGATGAAACCCAATCTGTAATAAAAATAGAAAAAACTTAACCAGGTGTGGTGGCACACACCTGTAGTCCCAGCTACTGGGGAGGCTGAGGCAGGAGGATCACTTAAGCCTGGGTTCAGGCTGCCGTGAGCTGAAATGGTGCCACTGCACTCCAGCATGGGTAACAGAGCGAGACCCTGATGCAAAAAAATAAATAAGAATGGATAATTTTTTTTTTAAATTCCATTGTCCCTAGGTTTTAAGCCTCTGGGGAAGGGTATTAGGTACTCCATAGGGGAAAGGTTGACCACAGCTCCCAGGTACATTTAATGTGCAGCAGGAATTTGAAAACTTACTAAGGTTTAAAATTTACCTTGTTTAAAGACTTTTGAGGAAAATCTAGCTTTCCAAGTAACTGAAATGTACATGAGATAAACCTCTTACCACTATGTGTTCCCTGAGAAATGCAGCACTTTTTTAGTCTTCATATTTTGTGATCTATAAATGAAATTCTGAAGTTTAGAGCAAGTTGCCCATTTTTGTGCAATTCACATGAGTTCTGTTAAGAATATTATAAATAATTCATCTTCAGTTTGTGGTTGTTTCCCCTGACTTTTTAAAGAGGAAAACGGAAACTCAGTCATGTTTTTGTCCTGCATGATCTACCTGTTATGCCTGTACTCCCATCCCAGGGGTGTGCCCTTAGTTGCCCAGATGGAGATGCAGTTGACTAGCTTTGGGGCAAAGTGGCTAGAGCTCTGTCTTCCATTGACTCAACACCTGTCCATGACTGAGCCAGGTGCCCAGGACACATCCTGAACAGTCAGCTTCTATCCTGTGTCCTAGTTGGGGAGACAGAGTGTCAGCCAGCAACACTCCCAAGTTTGTAGGTTTTAGGAGTTTTCAGTTTGTTTGGGCTTTTTGTTTTTTGGTTTTGTTTCTACATCCTCCCCAACTCCCAGACATGAGGCATGTCTTACTCAATATTATGCAATGGATTTAGACAAAAATTCATTCTTAATGTCAGCCACACAATTTTTTTAATGCAGTATATTCATCTGTAAATAGTTTGTGTAAAATTTGACATAAAAGTATATTTACTACACTGTCAATACATGTGATAATATATTGTATTGTTTTGCTTTTTTGTAAAGCAGTTAGTTGCTGCTCATGGATAACAACAAAAATTTGATTATTCTCATGTTAGTATTGTTAATTTCTTCTCGTGACTGCGTTACATCATTTAAAGAAAATGCTGTGGATTGTAAACTTACATTGCATATGATAACTTACTCTGTTTTCCATCGAGCCTAAACTTTGGCAGTTCCTTTGTCTCCAACCTTGTTAATACTGTAAGCAGTTGCACCCCAGCAAGAAAAATACTGCTCAGCAGACAAAATCGATCATTGTAGGGGAAAATCATAGAAATCCATTTCAGATCTTTATTGTTCCTCACCCCATTTTCCTCCTTGCGTATGTACTCCCTACCCCCGCCTTTTTTTTAAGTAAAATGTAAATTCGAAAAAAAAAAAAAAAAGGCCAGGAACAGGCTAGAGACAGCTAAGAAGTCATCATGGAAGGTTGAAGATACATGATTACATCTGTAGAGCTTGATTAGAGATTGATCTTTTCCCCAAAATACCAGCTTAAAAAAACAAAGAGCAAATATTAAAAACACTTTATTCTCATGTATGTTTTCTAGCTACAGAAAAGCAACATGAGGCCTTATACTTCAACATGTTGGATAATCTCATTGCAGAAGCTTTTGAGTCAATGGTACTGCTGCTTTTTGATGGAGGATTCTTAGGTTTTCAGTCTACGTCTTGTTGAAAGAAAATAAGCAGGGTCTCTCCGTAGCTGAAGGCCTACCTGCAACGCCTGTGTTACTGGCAGATAACAAGTTGTGTCAGTGACTCCTTCCCGGCAGAGCATTGGAGGAGAAAAATAGGGCTTTATTTATATTTTGGTGCCGGATATTATGACTTGAAGAAAAATTATTCCTGGAGCACATTCTTCCTGTCTATTTTGAATTATCAATGCTGCGTCTTTTATGTACAACTACATCTTAATGACTCGGGCATCTGAATTCTGTAACATTTGAGCAGCTTGTCTTTCATACGGAAGACAAAAAGGCTGCTCTTCGACTTGATAACTCAATGTGACTGTGACTCAGTAGCCCGCGGAATGTGATTAGCATTGAACACAATGCCCTTGAAACCAACCTTTCCACATGTGCCAGGTGATATCCTCATAGGTATTTATTCGAGCATTAAATATTGCAAAAGCTTAAGGAATAAAGCAACTATGGTAACCCAGCAGTTTGAAACACACACACCCTCCTCTATTCTTGTAATGTTTCTAATGTATGATCAATCAATTAATAAAGGCCAAAAATGCTAAGCCATAAAAAAGTTCATTTTTTTAATACTAACCATTTAAATTTAAATTAATAGCATGTCTGGAAGACAAATGCAGTTGATAGAAAATATAAAAACTTTACTATACAAATTTTACATCACATTCAAAAAAAGCAAGTGCGTGGCCTGTGGCCACATAAGATGCTAGGTTTGCACACACTGGTGAGATCCTGGCTAACACTGCTGCATAACACAAACTCCAACTGGCTTCACATTTACATGCCCACCCTCCCCTCATGCCAAAGCCACACAGAATAGCACAGGTTGCCAGGGCTTGCCATTCCCCTCTGTGACGTCAAGAGGGAATGCTGTAAGGAGACAGGGTGTTTTGATGTGGCGACATGGAGAGATCAGCTTTGCTACACACTGCTCACAACTAACCCCAAACTAGCTAGGAGTCAAGAGCTCAGTTAGGCAGAAACCCAGGGGGCTGCAGCTCTGGTGGTTCAAGGCAGCAGGGCTTCAGAGGCGAGGCTGGAAACTGGGGGTGACTTGGAGGGCCAAAGCTTGGGCTCCACTCTCAGCCCCCGGTGGGGACTTCCGCAGCCCCTAAGAGCTCTCCGCAAGCCCTCCCAGCCTTCTCCATCCCCTTCACAGTTGGCCATGAGGGCTGAATTCACAGTATCTGTCGTCCTTCACGTTTCCAAGGCAAACGGAGGGAGCACACAGAAGGGCAGGTGTGCCTTCCTAACCTCAGTTCACTGGCAGATAACTGAAATACAAGGGAAGCAGGGGGAGCATCACGGGGTGGGGTGGGGTTCTTAAAAGACAGGCAGTGCAGAGGTGGCAGACTGAGAGCCAGAAGGCTGCCCCCAGTCCTCCAGTTCCACCTTTGGGGCCCAGTGGCTTCTGCGTTCCTGGAAGATAACAGGGCCCCACCAGGTCATCAGTTCCTTAAGAGCAGGGACCATGACTGCTCCTATCTCTAGGTGCCCAGCACTTGCACAGGGCCAAGTGCACTGTAGTTGCTCAACGAGTGCTTAACTGGGATGCTCATGAGAAAAAGCAAAACCCAGACTGACTTTCTGGGGGCCTGCGCATCCCACTGTGGCCTGGCATCAGGGCTTGGGGAGGAACCGAGCCTGACTGGCTGAGCTGATGTCCAACCGGCGGCGGCAGGACAGCTAACTACGGCTCCGCCAGCTCTGGCCACCTCAAAAAGCAGCAGGGACAAGGACGGCGGCAGGAGCCAGAGCCCTCTCGGGTCACGGTGCGGGTGCATAGTGTCACTGGAGTGGGCGAGGAAGACCAGAAGGAAGATCTGGGAGGCGGCGAGGATGTAGGAGGGGCGGCGGCGGCGGCGAGGATGTAGGAAACAGTCACTCTGTTTCGTTTGCCATGCAGAAACTGTGGAGTTCGATTAGGTCCCATTTGTCGATTTTGGCTTTTGTTGCCAATGCTTTTGGTGTTTTGGTCATGAAGTCCTTGCCTACTCCTATGTCCTGAATGGTTTTGCCTGGATTTTCTTCTATGATTTTTATAGTGTTAGGACTTATGTTTAAGTCTTTAATCCATCTGGAGTTAATTTTAGTGTAAGACGTCAGGAAGGGGTCCAGTTTCTGCTTTCTGGACATAGCTTTTCCCAACACTATTTATTAAACAGGGAAACCTTTCCCCATTGCTTGTTTTTGTCAGGTTTGTCAAAGATCAGATGGTTGTAGATATGTTGTGCCTCCGAGGCCTCTGTTCTGTTCCATTTGTCCAAATCTCTGTTTTGGTACCAGTACCATCTTTTGATTACTGTAGGCTTGTAGAATAGTTTGAAGTCCGGTAGTGTGATGTCTCCTGCTGTGTTCTTTTTGCTTAGAATTGACTTGGCTATGCGGGCTCTCTTTTGGTTCCATATAAAGTTTAAGGTGTTTTTTTTCCAGTTCTGTGAAGAAAGTCATTGGTAGCTTGATGGGGATAGCGTTGAATCTATAAAAAGAATCTATCAATTACCCTGTTTTTTTAGGTACCCCTAAAACCCTACATGTACCCCTATGGAGTACTGCAGAGCTGAGCTGGGAGGGGAGGGGTCAAGAGGGTGTGGGCTGGAACCCCTTCCCGGAAGGAGTGCCATCTGGGTCTTTCATCTAGAACTGTTTACATGAAGATGAGACTTACACTTGAGGTTCAAGTATTAAGACCTATGCAATATTTTTTACTTTTCTAATAAACATGTTGGTTAAAACAAAACAAAAAAAAATGCAGCAGCAGCGGCCGTGCACGCCCGGGCTGAGGTCGTACAGCGCTAAGGTGAGCGGCTGCCGCCGCCGCCCCTCCCTCACTCTCCTCGGCCTCCGCCGCCCCTCCTATACCTCCGCCGCCCGAAGCTCCGGCGGGGATGATAGGCGCGCGCGCGCGCGCGCGGTACTCGCAGCCCCCACGAAGCTCCCTCTGCTTGCATCGCGGCGCCTCCGGTTCCCCGCAACGCTCCACGCCAGGCCTACGGACCTGGAGGCTGCGGCCGTGGTCGGTGGGCTTCGGCGGGCTCAGCGTTTGAGGCGGCGGCGGGGGTGAGCGGAGCCGGGCCCCGCAAGTCCCCGGGAGGCGACGGTGCAGGCGCGGGCCCCTGCGTAAGGCGGGTGCAGTGACAGGCCGGCCTGCGTGGCGCTGCCCGGGGAGGCCCCAATGGAGCTCCCAAACCCGCCATGGGCTGAGACACGTCCTCGCTAAACAGTGGCCCTTCCGTACCCCACCAGAACATGCCTGGGGAACTTCCTCCCAGATCTTCCTTGTGGCCTTCCTCGCCCACTCCAGTGACAGTATGCACACCCACCGTGACCCGAGAGGCCTCTGGCTCCTGCTGCACTCCTTGTCCATGTTGCTGTTTGAGGTGGCCAGAGCTGGCCAAGCCGTGGTTAGCTGTCTTGTCGCCGCCCCTCCTACATCCTAGCCCCGAGGCTCCGGCTGCGGCGACGGGCGGGTGCGGGGTTCTCGCTGCCCCCACGCCGCTCCCTCCGCTTGCATCGCTGCGCCTCCGGCTCCCTGCAACGCTCCACGCCTGACCTGCGGACCTGGAGGCTGCGGCGGTGGTCGGTGGGCTGCGGCGGGCTCAGCGGTTGAGGCGGCGGCGCTGATGAGCAGAGCCGGGCCCCACAAGTCCCTGGGAGGCGACGGTGCCGGGAGCGGGCGCCTGCTTAAGGCGACCGTAGTGACAGGCCGGCCCGTGAGGCGCCGCGGGGGGAGGCCACAACGGAGCTCCCAGACCCGCCCTGGGCTGACAGGTCCTCGCCGAGCAGTGACCCTTCCGTACCCCACCAGAACATGCCCGGGGGACTTCCTCCCAGATCTTCCTTGTGGCCTTCCTCGCCCACTCCAGTGACACTATGCACCCCCACCGTGACCGGAGAGGCCTCTGGCTCCTGCTGCCATCCTTGTCCCTGCAGCTTTTTCAGGTGGCCAGAGCTGGAGGAGCAGTGTTTAGCTGTCCTGCCTCCGCCCCTCCTACATCCTCGCCGCCGCCGCGTCCCCTCCTACATCCTCGCCGCCTCCGCGTCCCCTCCTACATCCTCGCCGCCTCCGCGTCCGCCGCGTCCCCTCCTACATCCTCGCCGCCGCCGCGTCCGCCGCGTCCCCTCCTACATCCTCGCCGCCGCCGCGTCCGCCGCGTCCCCTCCTACATCCTCGCCGCCTCCGCGTCCCCTCCTACATCCTCGCCCAGAGGCTCTGACGGCGTCGACAGGTGCGCGCGCCGTGCTCGCTGACCCCACGCCGCTCCCTCCGCTCGCATCGCTGTGCATCCGGCTTCGCGCAACTCTCACGCCAGACCTGCGGACGTGGAGGCTGCGGCCATGGTCGGTGGGCTCCGGCGGGCTCAGCGGTTGAGGCGGCTGCGCGGGTGAGCGGAGCAGGACCCAGCAAGTCCCCGGGAGGCGACGGTGCCGGCGGCAGTGACATGCCGGCCGGTGAGGCGCCCCCGTGGGAGGCTGGGGGAGGCCGAAACCGAGCTCCCGGACCCGCCATGGGCTGAGCTACACGTCCTCGCCGAGCAGTGACCCTTCCGTACCCCACCAGAACATGCCTGGGGGACTTCCTCCCAGATCTTCCTTGTGGCCTTCCTCGCCCACTCCAGTGACACTGCACCCCCACCGTGACCCAAGAGGTCTCTGGCTCCTGCTGCGGTTCTTGTCCCTGCTGCTTTTTGAGGTGGCTAGAGCTGGCCGAGTTGTGGTTAGCTGTCCTGCCACCCTCCCCTCCTACATCCTCGCCGCCGCGGCCCCTCCTATATCCATGAGGCCGCCGTCGCAGCCACCGCCGCCCCTCCTACATCCTGTTCGCCATCGCCGCCGCCCCTCCTACAACCTAGTCGCTGCCCGCCGCAGCCTCCGCGGCCGCCGCCCCTCCTACATCCTCCGCAGTCCCTCCCTCTCAAAAAAAGAAAAGGAAGGAAAGGAAA